CCGGCGTAACATTGCATGTGCCAAATTCAGCGCATGGTGGCCGCTTATTTTTTTTTTTTTGGCACAGGGCGGCCGTAGAATTTTTAGGCGGCTGGTGGTCACCAAATTTTTCGGCACGCTAGCCAATTTAGCAAGAGATTCGCCCTGCGGACGGCTCTGAAAAGAGTTCGGGACGAGACGTCCCTCACCCCGACCGTCGCGTGCTCCGAATCGCGAGCCGCCCCGAGTCTACTCAGTGAAGGAGCGGCCATCCAGGTGAGGCCTCCACCCTCGGCGCGGAGATAGGTAAGGAATACCATGCTGAACATCGCCGGGTGTCGTGAAGTAATCCTGCAGTGGGCTCCTGCCCACTGCGGGATCGAGGGGAACGAGAGAGCGGACAACCCGGCGAAACAAGCAACCGCCCTGCCCCCGGATGCCCGCTCGCTAACTCGGCCCTTTCACTGTGCAGCCTCGCGTCAATGTGGCGCGACCTTACCGAGTCCGAGTGACTATTCAAGCCACTCTTCGGGACCACTTTGCCGCTCCCCATCCCGGGAGAGACCGAGAGGACGCCGTTTCGGTGCACCAGATGAGGGCGGGTCACTGGGGCCGCTCGCTCCAGTACGTACGCCGAATCGGCTGTCCTGTCTCCCTTCTGCGACGTGCCAGCAGTGCCCGGACAAGCTGTGCCCGCCCAAAGCAAGGCCATATGCCCAAAGGGCTGATGTGCTAACTGCTAGAGCACGTGCTGCTCCGCTGTCTGGTCCTCACCGGCGCCCGCCAGCCTCGAACATACCGCTCCGCCGATTTTTGTGGTTCCGGAACTTCCGGCCCGAGCCTTGTTTCACGGCACGACGCTACAGTGCGCTACGCGTATTGTGGTATTGACTATTGGGCTTCCAAAAATTTCATTTAAAAAAAAATTGACCTTTTTTGACCTAAAGTGATCAGACCTCTGCTAAATTCAGCTGAAAATGACCTCAAATGACTTAGACGATACTGTTTTTGAAATATATGAGTGATATGGACCATTAACGTGTCACGTGACCGATACATGGCATAAAATTTATGTGACCTAGGGTGACCTGGCCTTGACATGAAAAATTCAAAGTCCAAGTTAATTACCCTCAGGGGATCTTCGGCACATATCAATGAGTGCGCAAACCAAAAATGAGCCTGATCGGACGTGTTAGCCGGCGGCCAGGCCCAGAGCCTAAAATGTGAACAAGCCAAAATGCGGATAATTTTTACTTTGACCTGACCTGTGACGTCATTGGTGACCTTGAGGTCAATGAAATTAGGTTTAGCTCGACGGTTGTCCAGACAGTCCAGGGCCATCAGCCGCCGTTTGAATTTTGACAATCGGCCCATTGTTTCGGAGATAGGAGGGGGGGGGCTCTGTAGAGCCCCCCCCCCCCCAGTCGGCTGCGTTATGGAAAATACCTCAGTCATGCGCTGGTTAAAGCCGCCTTCCTCCCTCAGTCCATTGTGGGTTAGGTATTGCCACCTTTTGTGGTAAAAACTGAAGAACTTGTTCCAGTTTGTGGACTGTGGACTGTGGATGTTCAGTCTGTTTGGCTTGGGCTAATGTGTATTTATAACGCTAGCTGGTGTGCTCGTTGCGTTGACAGTGTTGCCATGCTTTCACTTTGCAGTCTGGTCATCCACATTTATCTGCATTCCGCACTAAGACTGGGGGGCTAGGGATAGGGAGAAGTGTGGAATCAGGTACCTATCCTACTCTCCATTTTTCTGTTGTTCTTTCTTGTCTATTTCCCTTTTCCTTTCCTCTCTCCTCCCTCCCTCCCTTCTCTCTTCCTCCAACCCTCTCTCAATCTCTCCCTCTTTTTTTCTAGCTCACTCAATGTATATTTCACTGATCACTCCCTTACTTACATCTGATTGGCTCCCCTATTGAAGCTTCTGGGTGTGGGAGTTCCCTATTAAAATGCATTGGAAACATTGTTTTTCAGGTGCCAATATGATTAGCAAGAAAGACTTGGCAAAACTAATTGAAGATTTGAAGAAGGACAAGGTTCTTCGAACACAGACGTTTCTGATGACCAACAAGCTGTCGGCGGACTCTGTGGTGGAAAAAGACGGCGGGACGCTCCTGCATCTGGTGTGCAAGATGGCGGCCGAGAATGTGTTCTGGGCCGTTCGGAGGGGCGCCCGACCCAGCTGTTACCTTGCCAAAGACAAGCACGGCAGAACACCCTGCCACTACGCTGCCATCAACCTGATCAAAACTTCAAAAATGTCTGGTAAGCTATGCTACTTCATACCTTGGCTGTTTTTTTTTTCTTCTAATAATCATTGACGGCTTGCGCATCAATGTGTAAGTATTAGTTGACTCAAAGGCGCCTTTAGGAATTGGCGACAGTGCTATTTGCAATATCAAATTTGAGTGCTTTTCTGACAGAGCCTAAAGCTGACGGAACCCATTTATGCTACTAGAATCGGTGAACATAATACGCTCTGCTTCACTATCAACGACTATTCATGTGTGACTATTGTCCACCAACTGATTCTGCATTCTGTGTGTGCCACTCAGTGTTCCAGAACATCATCCAGCCGATGATCGAGGACTGTGTCGACTGTCTGCACGCGCCCGATAAGGACGGTCGTACGCCGCTGCACGTTCTCTCCGCTCACAGCGTGTGTGCCGACATGGTGCGCGCCCAGCTGGGCACGGTGCCACCCGCCGGCCGGCCGCCGCCCGACGCCTGGCACGAGAAAATCTGGGAAGAAATGCAATACGAAAACAGCAGATTTGATAAATATGACAAAGGTGAGGAAACGCGGGTATTTGTTATTGGCGCTTAATGACCTTTGTAGTCGGCACGTCCTAAAGCCTCAACAAACAAACAAACAAACAAACGAGTATTTGTTATTGCGATAAAGGTTGTTCTAAAAAACACGGTACCGTTTAATGTTAGCCTTGCGGCGCTTCTGGACGTAAGTCCTCCTCAGCGCGTGATATGCGATATGTTAACGGCTGCGGCACCGTTTCAGATTTCTCCGAGTACCTGTCGGACGACGCCGAGGACATTGACTCGTGGTCGGAACGGATCCGCGGCGAGCACGGCGCGCGCGGCCGCTCCAGTCCAGCGCCGCCGTCACCGGCCGAGAAGCGCCGCCAGCGCCGCGAGCGCGAGGAGCAGGCGCGTGAGCGGCGCCGCGCCGAGGAGGCCGAGCGGCGCCGGCAGCACGAGCAGGAGCAGGAGCGCGCGCGGCGCTTCCGTGAGGCCGAGGAGCAGCGCCAGAAAGACGAGGAGGCGCGCCGCCGGGCGCGGGAGGAGGCTCGCCAGCGGCTCGGCCAGACGCCCAAGGGCGCCTCCGCCAAGCTGTCCAAGGTGGTGCGCCGCTACCGGTCGCTGCACCACCTGGTGCACTCGGAGGACGGCCCGCTGGTGACGGCCGATTTCCGCGTGCTCGGCAACATCACCCTGCAGGAGACGCGCCGGCTGGTGGAGGCCGGTGCCGAGAACGGCAGCGAACGGCGCCGGGCCGTGCGAGACATGCTGCGGCTCTGGCACCCGGACAAATGTATGGCCAAAATCGTGCGCCGCATGACGGGAGACCCGGAGCAGGTGAAGTCGCTCGTGGTGTCGTTTGTTCAGCTGTTGAACCAGTTGCTATGAGCGCGCCCCTAGGACAATGGTGGGAGCCTCCGCGACAGGCTGTGTAAGGCACACGGTGCTACAGGGTGGTCGGCTGCCATGGTACACCGTTCGCAGGGCCGGGGGCCGGTGTGCGGACGTGTGAACTGGATGGGCGCTGCGCCGAGTATACTGTGTCAGTGCGGTAATGCGTTTAGGGACCTGATGAAATGCGACGAGTGACACGCCAACGCTACAGCTATCGTGATGGTTGCTGAGCAGACTACTTTTTGTGAGACATAGTGTGTATTGTCTGCCGAATTGCGTGTAATTACGCTAGAAGTCTCAGCGTTTTAATGACAGAATATAGCCCAGTTATGTATGTGCATTTTGTGACTTTTGTGTGCATTTGTATCACTGTTCCATCTTCACTAATATTAAATATAATATTTAGGTGTCTAGATGATGGATATGGTATCTATGCCAGCAGTTCGTTGACTTGGTGCACCTTAGAATTGATGAACTTATCTTTTTGTCCCCGCGTCCACGGTATACTCCTCACTTGTCTGATTGTATTTTTTTCGGCTTTTTAATGGATCGTCTACTGGAACATTCTTGGCTCAGTCCGTAGTCACCAAAGCCTTTACCCCGCCCCTGGCCTCTTTTCCTGTTCTAACAAAGGACTTCTCTCCCTGTCCCAGCATAATAGCATCTCAATCTGTTGGCATCCGAAGTGCGGACGCCCTAAACTCGTAAATCATCGTCACCACAGCGTGGTAGCAGCTGCATGACAGTAAAGCCCAGGGGTGAAGCCGACTTAGAGTGGTAGTAAAGCAAGTCACGCTTTCGCTGCTGCTTGTTTCCACAAGAAAAGGAAACTGGTCATGAGCTGAAATACGCTTTTATCCCCCTTACTGTACTCTGGAAGGCAGCCGGCAGGGAACCCCAAACAGGTGAGTTAGCAGATGAACCCCACTTGTATTATGGTTGTTTGAGGTTAACATAGATCTGCGTTTGTCGGTAGGTTTCCTCCATTATTTTTGTTGTCATTTGACATTTATTATGCTATGATGCGCTATGGACTCATAATTTTAATTTCGTTACGCTAGCCTGCGACAGTTCTGGCGCTCTAGTTTCAGTTGTGATTCTTGCAATCCGCGCGGACAACAAAATAAGTGTGTGTGTTGTGTGGATTCGTGGGTTATATAGCCTTGATACGAATATATTGTGAAAAGAAGAGCCGTGAAAGGCAAGATAATAAGAATATAAAACCTCATTTCATTTTCTCTAAGATCTATCAAGAATCTTGGTGTCGTAGACTCAAGGCTATGGGAGGGCTGCTAAGACAAAGAGGCATTTGGTTGAATTGACCATTCAGCATTGATGTTGAAAACCAAAAATTGCACGGTGAACAGAAATGTAGGGAATTGAGTGTGCATATTTTTATGCACAGTGCACATCATTGGTACTGATGCCATGCATGGCAATAGTCTTGCATAGATCATAGGATGAGATAGCTGCAAGAGTGCAAAGTCAAGGTATGTCTGGGACAGATGGACATTAGTCATTATCTGAGTCAATTCGATGGTAAGGTCTAATGATATATTATGATGACCAATATTGTGGCTGAAGTGTGATTTATTTTCAGGCCTCCGATCATGGATGAAAGAACAACACGTTTTACAGGCCAGGAGAAGTTCTTCTCCTGCAACACATTAGTTTGTCTCTTACAAGCTCTTAAAGGTCACAGCACTACTATTGAGCTCAGAAATGAGTCAGAAGTCTGTGGAGTGATTGACTATGTTGATGGGTAAGTGGGTGAGGAAGTCATGACTGATAAGCCACTTGAACTTAGTGTTGTTTGTCACTCTTGAGTCTTGTTGCACACTTTATTTCAGTGTATCAGTTTGCAGCCTCCAGGTAGAGATCATCATTCAAATTTTAATTAATGATGCCTTGAACATTATTAACTGAAACAGAGAACTGTTAAACCAAAATCCAAAGTTATATCATGCAAAACTGTTCCCACTGATGTGACTCTTACTTGATAGGTTTGTTTTGCCAATGATGTAACATGTTAACCTTAGTGTGCTTTCCTGGGAAGTGCTTATCTCAAATAAGATTAGAACATTAAATAACAAATAAATGGGCTAGAAATTCTGCATTATGGAATGCTACCTCTCTGACTGATTTTTCAGAACCTAGCTTCTTCATAGCCACGGAAAGTTGTAGAATGAAAGCTTATTATGCATCAATGATGGGTGCTGGTGCAGTTGGCCAGAAATATTCAATTACGATTTTTACCTTCCCTTACGAAAGAGCCAAATGCATTAATCCTTATCTGAATGTCAGCATCCAGCATCCAGAATCCCATGACAACATCTCACTGAAACCTTTCCAACCACTCGTGTCCATGAGCAGGCCTCCTGGCCTTGTGTTTCAGCTTTATGAACGTGACTGTACGACCGGCACGGTTCACGGATGCGGCCGGAACGTGCGCCAGATTCGACTCGTTCTTCGTGCACGGACGACAGATTCGCTACGTGCACATACCAGACGAGGTGAGAGGGGAAGGTGTGGGGAGGTGAGCGGGGAAGGTCAGGGGAGGTGAGCTGGGAAGGTGTGGGGAAGTGAACGGGGACGGTGTGGGGAGGTGAGCGGAGCGGGGAAGGTTCAAAGCGATGTGAACAGGGAGGGGACAGTCCCAACTCCCATACTAGAGATACAGGCAGAGTGAAGGCTGAAGTCATCTGAGGACAGTCCTTGATGGCGAGCGCCGAACGGGACAGTTCCAGTCCAGTCGACCGTTCGGGTATTTACTATGGAAATTAGTCGGACTCCGTGGACATTCGGACCGCGACGGCAGCGCCACCTACAGATGGCGCTGTCGGCGGACTTTGATGCACAATTCGGCCAGGAAGTGATGGCACGCTCCGAGTTTTGGCGGTAGGTAGACGTGGCGAAATAAAAGGGAGGTTAGCTGAAAAGTTTGTGACCTCATGCATACTTAAGTCAGGGGCTGCGTGAGATATTTCACTCATTCATGTGCTCCTAGTTCCTGCTTTGGCTCTTTAAATGCGCTTTCGAATTCTTGTCAATTTAAGTTCAGTAGCATCGTGGTTCTTGGCCATTTTGGTAAATAAAAATATCAAGCGTAGCCATTTTCTTGCGAGAGTCACCGTTTCCAAGTGCCATTTTGATTATTTAATTTAAATTTCTACAATTTATACCGAACCTAGGAATTCCAAGCATGCAAAAGGATGGTCAGCCAGGCCAAAGCTTTGTCCCACGCATGTTACCCAGCTCTTGAATTTTTTTCTAGAAGTTGTATGTTTTGTGCGTCTATTGGAACCAAGTGAATGGTAACGCCTCATTATTTTGGAGATCATGATAACATCGATTTTGGCTGATCATTGGCTGATCATAGCACACATAGTTGATCAGACGCTGTATTTCCGGAATAGAAATATTGAGAACATTTCAGTGTATTGATTTTTTTCATATGAACCCTGGCTGGTGTTCATCTAACCTTCAAACCTCTCCGGGCTCCGTGCGCCGAACAGGGTCGCTCCCTAACACAGGGCTTAATGTATTTCGACACAACATTTCGCTGTGAGCCCTTAATTAAGAGTATGGTGTTAATCACAAAATATGAGGAGAGTTTCGGCTCAGTAAGTCGAGCCGAGGCTGTACGCTCCTCCCGGTCCGCTGTGCCCCGCGCGGCCGGCGCCGTGTAACTGGCGCCGTGGCCGCCAGGTGTCACCCCTGTCGGCCATCCGCCGACAACTGGAGGTGAACCAGCGTGGTGGCCGTGCCGTGCGCTCAGACGAGGCCGATCAGATGAAACGCTCCCGGCGCACCAAGAAGGCGCAGGCCTACACCCGCGAAACGGTGCGCGCGATGGCCTTCCAGGAGGGTTCAGCCGGCGCTGCCGCTGGGGGCTCCGCTTCAGGGAGCTCCGCCGCGCCGCCGCCGCCGCCGCCTCCGGGAGGACCTGACGACGATGCTGATTTCGTGTGACACCGCCCTGTTCTGTTCTGGGACTCAGCTGGAATGAGGAAGAGGCGAACACACGTTTGGTACCTGATTGTGCTGATGAGCATGGCTCGACGGCCCGGATGGGGTCATGTGGTACTGTGTTTGCATTTGTGTGACTATAGGAGCGATGCCTACTCGTGTTGGCTGTGTCGTTAGATCAGCAGTTACTGGCGAGGAAGTGCCGCTGCTTCCTACCTAACTATGTACGGTCTGCAGCACATCGATACGGCTATACGGACGGCCGTGGTTCATTAAACTTGTCTGGAATCGGGACATGCTGAGAAGTGATAAAGGCTGACCAGTGACCCGTGATCTAATTTGGTTTTGAATTTGAAGTCAGTGCGATCCGTTGTAGTCATGCGATTCATCTGAAGTTTTGGTTCATCTCATGACTTGCCAGGTGTGTATTCGTTGTGATGTGTGCCTATAAATGCGTCTGTTTGCTACCTGATATTGTTTTTTCTAATAAACAATTATAAACATGAAAGCAACGCTTGTCAGAATGTCTTTCACGAAGGTGCATTCCATTTTTTTCATCTTTTGGCTCTGGACAGTGGACACCGCAGGGGAAAAACGATACAAAGTGAAACATGAGGGTATTGATTGTCCATGTAACATTTAACACCACAGCTTAAAAAGAATTTGGCATACCCCGATGTAGGGTGACCGCCTGCCAATACCAGCGAATCCGACAGCTCAAATTACCTTCCGTCGAACTGCGGCGTCTCATCCACGTGACCTCTGCCAGACGTCACCAATTTATCGTGACATTAATCATTGTGAGTTATTTTGGCGGCCATTCCAGTCCCATCAAGGGCCCGGGTCGCCGGCCTTGCGTGGGTCGTCGTCAGAGGGCCAGTCTGGCTGGTTTCCAGGCCTTGGGACCGCTGCTGCCGCGCTCTGCTCACCGGCAGGTGGCACTCTGACGGCCGAGGGAGACTGGACGGGTCAGACCGAACTCTTAGAAAGCCGTCAGATCCTTTGGGGAGCTGGACAGGTCTGACAGTGGGTCAGCGACCCTGGGCGGGGGTTCATACTCTTCGCAGCAGACAAGACACTGGGGAAAGGTTCTGGGAAAGGCTACACGCTCGCGGGGAAACTGGGCGGGTCAGGGAGAGGGTTAAATTTGTATGGAGGAAACAGGTCAGGTAATATGCCGGATCTGCGGAGAGCAAGTCAAATACGGGTCGGATTTGGTGGGTTGGTGGACATATCAGAGGATCGTCGGCAGCTACTGAGATGGCACACCGATCAGTTGCAGCTCCGGTCGGATCGGGCAGCACGAAGGTCCCGAACTCCAGCTTTTCCTGACTTGGAGGTTGGGAGGAGACTGGGAGGTAATAACTAGGTTCAGCTTCAGTGGGACCGATCGACAGCAGACCATTGGAGACCGGACAGTCCAGGTCCAGTGCCGGGTCAGGCCATTGCTACCGCTCGGGACTGGCACGGGTGACCCGTCCCCTGCTGCCACCGTCCAGCCGCGGCTGCCGCCCGACTTAGCCAGCCGCCGGCGTGCCCCCTGGCTGGCAGCCACAGCAGCCCGTTTGGATCCGTCCTTTGACCATTAATCACCTGTCGTGCGCAGGACTGTCTGGCAGCTGCTCTGCACCCGTCCAAGCTGTATTTTATCAAATAATCTACGAATGGAATTCTTTTCCTGCTATGGGAGCGCTAGTAAAACAATATTTCAGTCGTATGTTTCCCGGCAGTGGAGATACAAATCGAACCAAACTTTCACTGGGATGGGCAAGGGATGGGAATTAGTATCTTCGTAACTCATAAGATGTCGACTTTCTGTACAAGCTCGTACTGAAGCGAACTTCGAAGTGTGTAATGTGTTCTGGTGTAGGTAGGTATGTAGTGGACGCCGTACCGGGAATGTATGCCTCAATATAATGAAAACTCGCCGTTTTAATTGTATTTTTATTTACAACAATTCATTGGCTTTCATGCCATCATATTGACATTCTATGACTGACACTCCATCTGAATGGAAAATGTGTTTACACTTTGAGCTGCAACGCAGCTTACTGGCTACGCAGAGCTCTTCAGTCGAGGCTCCGTGCCATATTTAAGACACAATGGTATAAAAAAATCATGTTTGCGCGCTATCACTTGCCTAAGTACACATAACTTGCCCAGTTGCAAGTACTTTCCGCTCACCAGGTGCGCCCGAAAATTGGCGATCTTTATCGGCGAGTTACAGCTAGCGCTGGGCCTTCAAATGGGCTAGCGAGCCTGACAACGCGAGTCCTTTCCCGATTGTTAGCGGGGGATGCAATCTTCTGCCGCCTGCTACAACTATATCCGGAAGAGTTCCTGCGCAAAATTAGAGTCAAGGTGTCCCACGGGCTGATACATGCGTCGGCGCTTGTTGTGCCTGTGTGATGCTGCCGTTCTCGGTCGGGCCTTGTTCAATGTTCTGGACCACTACTGGATTGCACTACCCTGCAATGAACTAAACTGTTCTACACCGATGGTGTTCACTACTCTCGACTAAGCTTGCGGACTGGAACTCTGTACTAGAGGTGTCCGCTCTGCCTCTAAGACGGCTAAGATGGGCCGTGGAGCCCCGCTCTCGCTGGCCGGCCGGTCCCGCTCACTGCGCGCCCCTGCTGACCGCAGTCTCACTGGAGACCGGAGCGCGGCGGGCGCCGGCTCCTACCTGGCCGGCATCAGCTCACTGTCGTCAGACAGTGTGATGTGCGGCACGGTGAGGGGCGGCGGGCGGCTGTCTCTGACCTCCTCTGGCCGCTCGGCGCTGGTGGCCTCGTACTCGCCGTCCTGGGCGGGAGACACGCGGCCCTCACACGCACTGTCGCCGACCCCGCCGGACTCGGCCGAGCCCGGCTCCGGTGTTGTGGACGGCTCTGCGTCACTGTCGTCTTCCCAGAATCCCTTCTTTGGTTTCACAGGCGCTGGCTCTGTGTTTTCTTCCTCAGAAACGTCCCAGAATGAGAACGTTTCTCCGTTAGTTGCAGGGGTGGTATTCGATGTTTGATCGGGTGCATCTTTGGGATTAAGACTAGCCGGTATTCGATTGTCGGTCTGATCTTCTGATGAAGTTCTATCTTCTTCCTGTTTCGAATCGTCTGGGGCTAGTGTTTCGCTTTCGGCACTCGTGGTTTCGCTAATTCTACGTTTGATTTCATCGTCATTTGAACGAACAGGTGAGTCATTCTCATTAATGACATCCCAGAAAGAAAAACCACTGTCCTTTTCTTTAGCATTGTCGTTCTTTATATCACTTTGACTTCTTGATGTATCATTTTCTTCTGCCTGATGCTCATTTCCATCACGATTATCTCCAGGTGGGAGATTCTCTTCTGGCTGGTGCTGCTTGGATTCAGAAGTTCCTTCCGTCTCGGAGGGGGGCTGTTCGTCGGGAGCAGTATCGCTCGCTCCCTCGGCCGTCGGGGCAGCCTCGGCCGAGCTAGCCGGTGACGCTCTCTCTGGTGACCCCGACCGCGGAGTTTGCACCGCAGATGCCATGGCAGATTTGTCGTCCTCCCAGAAGTCCTGCTCTGTGCTCGCCCAGAAGTCGAACTCTGATTCCGACTCGGGGGCCAGAGACGCCACGTCCGACATCTGATCAGAGGACTCGTTCACCTTCATTAGCAAGTTTTCATTCTGTTTGCCCCCGCTTTCTGGTGCTGTCTGCTCTGTGTTTCTGTCGACGTCTTCCTCTACCACTATTTTGACCTCCGGCCATGCAGGTGGGGCCGGTGCCTGGGTGCTGTCCTGTTTCTCTTCTGTGCTTTCTTCGTCATTGTCATCTCCCACCTCCCATTTGACAGGAGCCCCTCCGGTGTCCGACTCGGCTTCCCTCTCTGAACCCTCGGCCGAGCCCTCCGCTTCCTTCCCTGATGTTGCTCCGTCCGCGGCCGCCTCTGGGGCTGCAGTGAACACCACTCCAGCATCCACTCCCACAGCTCCTCCCACGGCTCCATCAGACTCGCTGATCTGCGTCAGGTTCTCGGCGCTGTGCCCCACCCGTGCGGCGGCGCCGGCCGACTCTGGTCGCAGCAGCCAGCCGGCGTCACCCTTGGCCGCTTCCCTGGTCAGCTCCATGGAACGGCTCTTGTGCAGCGGCGGCGGCGGCAGGCCGAGCTGCTCCATGGAGCGGCAGCGCGCCGGCTGCTTGTCGCGCCGCTGACGCTCCAGTTCCTCCAGCAGGTCGGGACGCACCTCGCCGCAGCCGGGCCGCTCCGACATCCCGTACTTGAAGCGGATCGTGTTTAGTGGCAGCAGCAGCTCGATCATCTTATCGTCGTCGCGGCGCTGTGGGAGAAAAGGGAGGGGCAGAGATTGTCAGAGTCAGACCATCGCTGGCATTTTTTTTTTTTTTTTTTTTAACGGACGACAATTTTCATCTCCGCACCTTTCGATATTTCGCAGTCTCTGACATGGTTTGACACTTTGTTACCAATTTCAGAGAATTACTTATGGCTGTGTCGGGGTCTGTTTTCGTTCGCCAGTTCAGCGCCTGACCGGACCCTCTCTCCAGTCGCCGGGTTCCAAGACAAACACCAGTGACGAGCGACAGTCGACGTCAGCAGTCGGAACGTCGAGAACGTCGCATGCCGCCACAGAGACGGTCTGGGCTCGCTCGGACGGGGACGCTCTCTGTCTGACTTTCTCTGTATCTCTGTCCCTGTTTCTGCTTTTCTTTGTCTCTTTTTCTCGCTCTCTCCTATCTCTTTATCCATAAGTCTCTTTCCGACTTCTTTTGTCTCTGTATCTTTCGGATTTTGTTTTTGCCTCTCGGAAATGGAAAATCACGTCAGGTAAGTTACTTTGGTCATGTCTCCTTTCGAGAGGCCAGTGGTCATGTTTCTAATTGAATATGGTCACGTCATGTGAGTTCAAATGTAATGTCAGCGTACTCTCATGGATAAGAGAAGCCGTCAAGGACATGGACAACAAGCCAACTGAGAGGGATCACAAGACGGGATCACCTGACAGGGACCCCCGAGAATGATCACCTGAGAGAGACCACCCCGGCTGGAGCCACCTGATCGGGACCATCAGACCGGGACCACCGGGGCTGGTCCGGGCGGACCTCCGCCGTGGACCAGCGGTCTCGGGCGCCGCGCGCGCCGGTCGCCAACACTCAGCTCGGCGATATAAATAGCCGCGTGGCGGCGCACCGTGCACGCACCCGGCGCATACCGGCTGCCAGCCGCCGGCCGCGCCCCCACCCCGCCCCCAGGACGACCGGAGGTCAAGGTCGCCACGCTCAAAGGGGGGGATGCGACTGGGTTCAAGTGCTGACAGTTGACACTGACGTGTGAATCGTGTGGCATAGCCACAATCCTCAATGGACGTGGCGACCATATGACGACACAGACTGTGTGTCTGCACGTGGAGACACGTGTGTGTGTGCGTGGTTGAATGTTGCCAATTGCATGTGTCCTTGCATGTGTTCATAAATGCATGGTTGGTCAGGTATGGCGGCGGTGCGCGGGCGTGTGTATTGTGAGCTAC